TTAGATTTTCATTAATATTGCGTCTTTTCAGCAAAGCTAATCAGGTGTTTGATTCTGTGGATGGAAGCGAGTCTCCTTGGGTGGATTTAGGCTTTGCTACAACTTTACATTTTACTAACTCTTTTACTTTTCGCCGTCTTCTCGTCGTTTCTTTTAACTTTCCTATCCAGACGCGTAATATCATGTAGCAAAGGCAAACTGCAGTTCCAAAAGGCTGTGTCCTCACTACTTTAAATTCCTCTCAAAAACTTGACTGCTGAGGTCGCGCTAGCCGAGTAAACGCTCGCTGTGTCGCAGTTGGAAATTCGTACGCGGGATATGTGTACTCCAAAGTGTAGATAGGATTGTGACGCCTTTTCATTGGCTTTTCATTGATTTGGGTCACAATTGTGTGTGTGTGTGTGTGTGTGTGTGTGTGACTGTGTGTGGATTATAGGCTCCACTTTGTCAGAAGATGAAAAACCAGTAGAATAAATTAGAAATTGGGTTTCAGCGACGTTTGTTTGGCGATCTAAAATTTGAAGCTTATTTCTGAGGGTTTATTTAGACTTAAAGAAGATCGAGGAACAAAAAGATTTATATGAAGCTTTTGTTTAATTCAAAAATTAGTGTCTTTGTCTTATTATTTTTTTTTCTTCTGCATTTACTGGCAGGGAGTCGTGCGATGGGGACGTGCTGAAGCAATTTAAAGCCATACTCTATCTTCCACCGTTTTGTCCGTTATCAGGGGCGTCGGGCGCTGAGACGTTGAGATGTTGCCCCAGCCCAAAACCCCGCCGCTTCACTTAGTCCGCCGTGTCACCGTGAAAAACATCGTCTTGCATCTTCCGATTATTAACCATCGTCCCGCAGAGTACGACGTATATTTAAGAAGGAAAAAAAGAAAAAAAAGTCACGCACAAACGGAAGTGATCTTCACACGTTTGTGTCATTTAGAAGTGCATGTCATAGTGCGTAGTTGTGGATACGGCGCCGCCGCTGCTCCCCTCGCTCCCGTTGATCCTGGTGTCCGCAGCACAGGGAATGTTCTAGTTTCTGTCCGTTTCAATCAGAAGGTTACAGGAAGGGTAAATTTTTTTGTTTTGTTTTAGAAAAAGAAAAAAAAAGCCAAGGCTTTGTAAAGCCAGTTCTTATCCAAATATTACCCAGGTGTGAGTTTGAGCCACGCACTCTGCTAGTTAGGCGTACTTTTAACGAATGTTCGATCTGTCGAGGATCACCAGGTTGTCGGTCTGCGTGTTTTTGTTGCAAACTGGAATTTTTTTTATTTTTTATTTTTTTTTGAGAGGTTCTTGTTACTTGACCCACATCTTCTGTCGTAACAGCCTTTTTCTAACTGACAGGTTCTTTCTTTTTTCATAATTTTTTTTTTCCTTTATGCAAAAATGTCAAGGGCTTTCGGCAATCCATCCACAGTAACCTGAAACGATCCAGATTTCCAGTTGTGTTGCCTTAAGTTTTTTTAATAAAAAAGAAGAAAAAAAAAAATCAACAAAAAAAAACAACGGACCAGGAGAAAGTCGCTCTGAGTCGCGTCCGCTACTCGAACGGCGTAGGCGCTCGTCGTCCGGGAGACTCCGCGTGCTTCGCTCCATATCCTACGCTTGGATTTCAACATAATCAACGTCGAGGTCGGGCGCCGCTAAAAGTTCCAACCACAAGGGGTCAGCGTTGCGGCCGTAGGAGACCCCGCCGTACACTACTACACCAGAAGAAGCCGCAGTCAGGCACCTGCTCTCCTGGTCTGTCGACTACAGCACAACCTGAATTTTTCTCTGCTGCAAAACCAAATTGACCATGCTCTTTTACATATATGTCTTTGTATACACATGCAATGTATTTAGTTGCATGTATGTATGAGTATGAGACCTATGGTTTTATCCATGATATGCTTGATCTATGGCTTAGACACTCTTATTAACCATTAAGAGATTTAAAAGACAAATATGGTGCTATCGGACCTCATATTGGGGTGGTCACATCTCGTGACTGGTCATGCGGACTCATTGATCATATCATATATATATATATATATATACTTAACGATGCGACATGTAAGATTTTCTCTGGACTTGCGTTGCTGTGCGAGCGAAGTTGTGGTGAAGGATTCTTGCCCTCCGACGCGGACGGAAAGCTTTTTGTCGAGGTGGACTTGGGTGATTTTTTTTTTTTTTTTTCATTTTTCTTTTCTTTTTCTTTCTGGGGTGGGGAATCAATTCCACTCTGGGAAACTGACATTCTCTCTCGTAATGAAGAAAGACTCCACAGGCGCTATGGAATGTACTGTTAACGGTCACCAGGGGAATTGAACAGCGATGTGTAATATGAGAAAATCCTACATGTTAACCATGTTAATCCTTGATATATGCAGATCTGTTCAACAGGTGTTTATTTTTGTTTTTACCTTTGTTTTTTTTTTTTTGTGTTTTTTTTTCCAACCAGTGCAAGTCAACACTGTGCAGGTTTGAAAGGACAAGAAGTCACACATTTTACCTTCTGTCCCTTGATTACTCCCTTCACTGTGGCCCAACCTCATGGCCGAGTTTGTCAACGTGTGATGCATGTCGTTCACTGGCGAGATGGCGGGAAGATCCGAGGTTCCCGTTTGAGTTTTCTCTCTCTCTCTCTCTTTTTTTTTTTTTGGGAGGCTTTTTAGCTGTTGAATCGGCTATCCACCTCCAAAAGGGCAACGTTTAAGACGTCAACTAGCGTAAAGTCCTGTTGAGGTCGTTTCAGCCTCTCTTTATTGACGTTTACCTCTACAGAGACACAGATTTTTAGTTTTTCCGCGCCGATCCGACATTTCGAATCACTGATACCTCAAGGAATCGCAAGGAACGACATCAGTAGACTGTTGTAGCAGATCGGGTGTTTTGGTTCCCATACCAGGGTGTGGAGTTCAGCCTCAGCATTCCTCGCGCGGCCGTCCCCCCCGACCCCCGAGCCGCGCGGCGTGCTCAAGCTCTTTGTTACCTTCGTATGTTCGACCGAACCAAAGATGCCAGCGGCCATGCTCAGATGCTGCTTTTCTTTTTTTTTTTTTTTCAGGCCTGGCTTCTTGTCCTTCCAAAAACAAGCCCTGCTCTTGACTAAATGTTTCTTCTTCTGTGTTTTTTTTTTCTTTTTGTGCGATTTCTGACTTGTCAAGCAACCCAGTTCTTCAATGAATTGTCATTGTTTCCGTCTCTGAAGCCGTTCGTGGCGACAAGACAGCGAAAAATGGGTGCAAATTGTTACTTGTTTTGTTTGTATTATTATTATTGCTATTTTTTTTTTTTAAATGAAAATCCCATGGTGTGCCTCCTAGCTTTATGGGTTTATAAATGTTTGATTTCCCCCTAAAGACCAGCAGTTATACTTTGTATAAAAGATGGATTTTTTTTCCTTATTTTGTATGCCATTAAAGATGAAAAAGCCTGTTTTCTTTACTCGACCCAGTAGCTGCACTGGTATACAATCGCACTGATAGAAAAATTAAACAACAAAAAAGAGGAATAAGTGAATCAATAATAATAATGATAATGACAAATAAGAAATACAATAAACTTGTGTTTGAAGCTTTTATTAAAAAAAAAAAAAAAAGAGTAAAAAACCCCAAAAAGACGATTTAAAAAAGAAAGAGAAAATGACTGTTTTTGTACATCAAAATAAATTTTTTTCAAATGAATATTTTGGATCTAGTTTCAGAATTATTTTAGTGGTTTTCTATGTTCTGAAAATTTTTGAGACACACTTCTAAGACGTGTCGCTGTATAAAATGACTTTCTTTTGCAGTGGCCTGATGGGCTGGGAGGGTTACCTGGTGTAACTCATACAATCTTTTATTTCCTTTGTCAATTTTTGGATCTTTTTTTCCTCTCTCTCTCTCTCTGCTTTAGTACTCTGACAAATTGTTGATGGGGGGGAATAAAAAACAAACTGGGAACTTTTAATTCCATCCCTGTAGAGCTAGAATCCCTCTTCCTTTCCAACTGAATTGCTGTTTAGTGTGACGGAACTCCGAAACGGGCATTTATGATCGTACGACTCCAAAAGAAAATAAAAAGAAGTACATAACGCAAAAAAGGGTAAAAATAAAAAAAAATTGTGAAGAAGGCTGAAAGAAAATATATCGATGGGTTATCTGTAAGCAATGGCTGTGAAGATAATGTAGTTTTAAACATTGTTACCTTTTAAAATCATTTATTCAATAAAAAAAACCCTCCAAATCAGCTAAAAACTTGTCGTTCCTCTTGTTTTGCAGCGCTTCTGCTGATGAGGCAGGGGAGAGGTGGGTTGATGAAATGTTTTTGCTTTGTTTTTGTTTTTTCTCCAGTTGCTGTTCAAGCATCTTCATTAGCAAGTTTGCAATTTTTTCTTTTAGTTTACTATCAAATGACAGCTGAGCTGAGTCATTTTAAGCTGGTATGGATTGATCAAACTGCATTGCACCATCAGCAGGTAAAAAAAAAAAAGAAATAAAAATATTGACGCTTTAAAGAAGTGGTAGGCTTGACGTGGATCAGATACATGGGCGTACTGTGTGTCTTCAAGGAGACGGATGGGGCGATACGTCGTCAGGAAGTAGCTTCCTACATCATTCACGACTAAGTAATTGTACCTTTACAGATTTTTACTTCATGATCGTGACAAACACCTGTACTAGTTTATTCTCCGAGTTTAAGAAGTTCGTGGTATGGTCAGCTGAACAAACAGTATTTCATTCTGAGACCCGATCTAATTACAGTTTTTCTCGGTTGTTTACCCATATTTTCTGAAAGCATGCCTCATACTCTCAGAACTCTACACACACATTAAAAAAAAAATAAAATACACACAATGGGGGAAAAAAAACCCTTCAATTCTCCTGCTAAATGTAGCTTTTACCTTCCAACAGTGTTATCTCGTCTTCAAATGATATTTGGTTTTCGGTAGAAAATAGAGCAGGAGAAATATCTGACTTAAATTAGACTAATACAGAACATAAATACAAAGAAAATAAATACACATGGAAAACTGACCACTGGAAATCCCTTTAATTGTTGCCACAACGTACATCTGAACTCGGGTACAAAAGTTTCTCTTCTCCCTTTTCGGTACTGAAATAAAGACAATGCTACAGTTACACAAACCGCCTCAGACTTGAAATGAAATATACACACACACACACACGAGTGACATTTTCCTACAATAGGTGTTGATTTATCCACATGAATCTCCGAGGTACACATTTGTATGCATGATTTGTTACACTAGGCGCAAGAGTTACTTTCAAGTGTCTTGATATATAGAGAGCCGAGTAAAAGTATTCACACCCCCATTGCACTTGTTCACGAACCGTGATACGCCTCATGTGATTAAATTCACAACTATTTGTGAAGCAGAAGGGGAAAAAAAAATGATACATTGTTGTAATAGCTTGGTTATAATAACCAAGCCATTATCTGGAATGTCCAGAGATTATCGAGCAAAGAAGGATTCTTTACAAAACTTATTTAAAACCCTGAGCATCTTCTTCCCGAGACGGTTAAAAAAAAAAAGGTTTTCAGACAGAGGCTTCTTCTGAGCCGTTGTAATACAGACTGCTACAGGCAACAGACTGCTTTGCTGAATAATGTCCACTTTGGGCTGTTTGGGTGTAGCTGTGCTGCACTCTTTCCACTTTTGGGGCAATGGATTAGCATAAAACCATAAGAACTAGAATCTGTTGTCTTGAGCGCTGAAATAAAAAAAAAAAAACCTTCACACAAACGCATGTAAAACCAGAAATGGCCATCTTCGATAATGACAGCCTGATAAAAGTAATTGAAATGTGGAGGCGGTGGCGCGACAACACGAGGAAAAGGTTCAAGGGGTATGAATGCTTTTGCAAAGACCTTCAGTTGCAGATAAAGACGCAGCGTCTGCCTGCCATTGGCAATTATTTTTCTTTTCCCAACAATGTTCTCAAGGTTAAACCTTGACGAATATAGTCAAACAACACGATAAAAACAACAGAGAGAGAAACGAAACAGCAACCCAAGTCCCACCTATTCACTCATTCTTCACTTCAACCTGCAGCATGTAACAAGTTCTTCACTCCTCCTGATTATCCTAACTGGAATGCATTGAACAGGCTGGAGACCGAAAGATAAAAACCACTTACAAAAACATTATTTTCTATACTGAGCATACATTTTTATTTATTTTTTTCCTCATTCATAAACGCCTCACCCCCCAAAAGATAACATTCAAGTCCACGTGCTTTTAAACAAGCAGGGACTTTAACAACAGCTCACGTTTAAAGTCTGCTTGGAAGCGCACTGGAGACAAATAAAAACGACGGTAAAATGAGAGTTAGCAGAACTAAACTCATTCAGAGCTGAAAGAGGCGCCTCCCACCCGCTGAGCACCTGCATGGTGGTGGTCCAGGTGGTCGCATGCAGGTGGTCAACTTTACATTTACAAAAAAGAAAAAAAAAAAGGCAGCAGGATAAAAACTGTATCACAAGGTTCCCCCCAGCTTCCGCCATTACAAGCACGGCAGCGGCTTGGCTTTACTTGGCAGAACATAATATGAAAGTGAACCTAGTTTGTTTATTTCAGATTAGCTTTTGATACACCAGTAACAGCAGACGGGTCTATAGTTGATGCATTAAGCTGGGCGCGTTGGCGTCGCCGCTCTGGTCATCCACCTTTCACTCAAACTGGAAGCAGCTCCGTCCGGGTTCAGTTTTGGACCCACAGCAAAACTGTATTGGTTACTGTGTCGATACTGTGTCACTGAATACTGACACCTGCTGGACACTGAAAATCCCTACAGGCAACGTCGTTAGACTGACTATACAATAAGATTTAAGTCATTGTACTTTACTGTATACTATATGTTGTGTTATGTCATATGTTCAGTTAAATTCAAAATATATCTGATATTCTTAGATACAGTCAATAAATAATGTGAACATGTAACATTAATTGAAAATTTAAGTGGATGTGTTTCGAATGAGGATGCTTGTGGACTGGGGTTTTTTTTCCCAAAAAATTTTCATATATATAAAAAAAAAAAGTTTTTCCAACATTTTGAAATCTGGTCTGTTACGCTTTTTTGACACAACTTCTCCCGCTGTAGAAAAAAATGAACAATACACTTATGTGAAATAATTTATAAAAAGCGACTGAGTAATTTGTAGAAAGGATGAGTTTAGCCTAAGTTCTGATGCCCTGCGATGCCTCAGCATTGAAGAGGTGGATTCATTTCAATCGGACAGTTCTGTCAAACATATGCAACACTCTACCTGCAGAACATAATATGAAAGTGAACCAAGAGTCAATTTCAGCTGAATTTGGATTCAGATAAAGTAGAAACTGAAAAGAACCAGATGAAACAAGTTAGAACCGACACCTTATTTTCTGATGTGAAATCAAAATGGTCCCAAACTAAGAAACCCTTCGTTTGCCTTGAGGCTGCTCCACAGTTGACATTGTGCCATAAAAGATCAAGATTTCTTTTTGGCAAATGCATCCCGTTCACAGATTCGCTAAGGGCTTGACGCATGCGCCCTTAGCGAATCGGTGTTGCCGGACCCATCGCTACTTAATACAAGACTCACTTAGCTGAGTTACTTAGCTGACCATAAACTGATAAACTGGTAATTAGTTATTATTTGTGAACCAACCAAGCTCAAACGCAAAGATTAAACTCGTAGCCTCATGTTGTAGGTATGGTAACGCAACAATCAAAGTAATCTTGCCAGCTTTTTCAAATCTTAAATTGAAATGGCGATGAATTCAGAGCTTTGATCTCTACTGAAACAATTACATGAAATTTCACAGCATTTTTATTCTCAGTAAAAACAAATGTTAAAATGATAGAACTATGATCCGTGTTAAAATGGGGGCTGTGACCAGCATTACGTAACAGGCCGATGATGTCTGATCACTTAGTTAGAAATCAGTGCAAAAAACCGATAGTAATCTGAATTAATTATATTTTTTGTGTTTGTATTTTTTAAGACTACAGTGATGTGTTTAGGTGTTGTCAATAATACCTTCAAATGGCATACCTCGTCGTAATAAATCTACCGTCAACTTTTAACATCGTTCTGACACAAAAACCAACGAAAAACCAAAAAACCGGCAGCCGTTGCTGGACCGCCCTGCCACCGGGCTGGCATGTCAGTGACCGCATGTCCAGCTGCTTCGCAACAAGCATGGAAATTGTACATGCGAGTACGTATTTGAGCCACCAAGGATGACGTGTGGGTTTATTGGCCCCTGAAAAGCTCCCCTCGTCTCAACAGAGCTAAAAGATTCCAGATTTTAAAAAAAAGCAGAAAAAAAAAAACGAGGCCCTGCCGGGCCGCGGGGGCGCGGACGCCTAGTCGACCTTCTTGCTGCGCAGTGGAAGCTTGTCCAGCAGGTACCTCCAGGCGGAGTCGCTGTGCTGAGAGAGGAACGTCAGGAGCTTCCCGTGGAGCAGCGTCAGCGCCGTCTGGTGGCACGTCGCCCACACCCGGTACCACGGCCCGTAGAAGGGATCGGACACGGCCGGACACAGCATGTTGTTCAGGTTGACCTCTGTCGCCTGGGGGGTGGAGGGGAAGGGGGGACAGGTTAATTGGGCGTGAGACCTAATTTTTATGTTAATGGCGATTGAAAAAAGAAAAAAAAAGGAATTATCCACTTGGATGAGGCTCTGGCGAATGTCATGCTCGACTTAACTGTGCATATCTTTATGAATCATTAATTTCCTCTGGATTTCTGCTCCAAAAAGCCCCCTTCCCCGCAAATGGAATGAGTGATGAGTTCACCGCCTGGAAGTCCTCCGTAACTTATCATTAGTCTGCAGAAACTCATTTGGCTGCCAAATGATTTCACATCTTGTTAGCGCTGCAGATTTTCTGTGGATTCTTTTTCTTATTGCTTAATTGGCTTCACAGCTGAATGAGAAGATTAAAAAATAGACATATCTGCTGGAAACCCTCAAAAATATACACATATTTTTATTTACTTAATATATTTTTTTTTTTTATAAAAGAAGAATTCTATGCTGCATAATAATTTATACATTTTTGTTAAAAGTTTTTTTTTTTAAACTTGACTGCACATTCCTCTGGACTGGAGTATTTTGAAATTTTGCTCCTACTGTACAATACTTAATCTTTATTTGTTATATATATATTTTCATATTTTAGCTTTGTGTGAATTTTTTGTTTTGGTTGTAATTTGCTACAGTTGCACAGAAATATCCCCATTTTTTGTGGCTCAATAAAGGATGTCTCTATTCTATACTTTAATACGTTTTCAGATCATTTCGGCTGAAAATTATTTCCGTCTCTTTTTGCTTTAATTTTTCTTCTCAGTAAGGTAGGAAGCAGGCGACTGGCATTACACTAACTGTGGGGAGAAGTCTAATGTTTTTCTTTATTTCTCATCTTCTTTGCAAATCTATCATACTGCTACAAATGTATCTGACTTTACTGTGTAAATACATCTAAATCAATCATAATTTCTCTTCAGAACTTCCAGAATTACTCATCATCAAACTGTTTTGGACCTGCTCTGCTTTTTGGATTTCCACAGTTTGCAGTGATCTTGTTGACTCTACTGATGGAAGAAAACACTCAGGCCGCATGGTGAAGTACCACCCGAGTGCCTCTAGAGGGCTCTGTCTTACCAGGCCAAGGGGCTGCAGGAAGACGATGTGGTAGAGAAACAGGATGCCGGTGGAGAGCAGCGCCCACCACATGTTCCCCAGGGGCTCGGGCTGGTACACACCTGCAAGAGACAAAGAGCCGCCGGTGAAAAATCTCACACAGTTTGAAGGTTAAGCAGAGAGCAGGTGCAAGATATGCATCTCGATCGGCGAGGCCGGCCACCTGTTAGACCTCCTGCTGCTGCAGGATCGAGGAATGGGTTGGTGTATCTGTGTGCTTCACACTGGTTCTCCCTGTTTTCTCTTTGGCAGAATTTTCAGGTGCCAGAGGAAGAACTTTCACTCTATCAACTCTACAGATGAAATAATATTTTCTTTGGCTTTTGATGCAACGCTAAGAATAAACTCTGACTGTTTCTGTCACTGTGGTACAAACCAGATGATGTTTCAAGCCTTCTGTTTGGTTGAATGTTGCCCTTTGACCTCCTATTTGCTACTTTGCGTTTTACCCAGATCAATACAATAGAGTGAATAAAACCTGAACCCACTCATGGCGGATTTCAAGTGACAAAACATAAAGAAGTGAGGGTGGGAATATTTTCTCGAGGTACTGCATGTCTTCCAGAAGCATTATGGATTTTTCCTCAAGGTCTGCTTATTTGCTTCAAACCCAAAGATGAGACACGATCAATTTCTGCACTGCAGTTCCTGATGCGCATAATATCTCTGTATCCTCTTGCTATAACGACAGGAGAAACAAAAACCTTTTTTTTTTTTAACCAGAGGGGAGCAATATGCAAAATATTAAAGGCTCTTTTATAAACCGCCGGGTCAACAGTCGAGTTTACAATAAACACAGCAGTGACGTAAATTGGAACCTGTGCGTGAAAAGTCACAACGGCTGAACAAGGGTGCAAGTCATTGTGCCGTCTTAACTTGGGGATGTGTGACTACATGTAGAGATCACATTGCTGCCACTTACCTCCTTTCCTCATGAGATACACAGGCACCCAGTACATCATGGAATGTTGGATGTAGTAGATCTCCATCTCAAATGGCAGCTGAGGAGCAAACAGAAACGTCGATCACGTCAACGTCTCGCTCTGACATTAACAGCGTACTTCTCAAAGCGACACATATTTTTGCTTTTTCAGACACGAGCTGGGCTGAAATGCATCATATATGTCTTTCTTGACGTTTGCTCCTCGCGCTTACGAACCGGTGACCAGATCAGATGAGATCACCCACACCTTTATGGTGACAGAATGCAAAGCAGTCTGCTGCAGCCGCACTTTCCTGTTTGGGCATCTGATAAAAACTTGCAGTTGAGAAAGACAAAAATGCAGATTTGCTTTACATTTGCATCTGATATTGGCGGTAGATTTTCTTGGGCTGAGTCAAAGTTTTAACTGTTCAAAGTTTCATTTCTCAAAAAGCAACAGAGGCAGCCCTCAATAGCTGGAGTGAGGCCTGGTTCACTTTAGCATGTGCATAGTAGCAGTAAAGGTGTTGGGGAATTATTTTTTTTTTTAACTAAATAGCTAGTTATTTATTTGCCATACTGGACTTTGACTATTCATCCTAGATTTTAGGGTATTTACTAAAAGGATCTTTCAAACAACAGGTATGTTCAAGTTTAGGCATCCAGCTGTGCTCTTCATGTCATTTCCTGACTTAAACTGGCATGTTCTCTGGTTGTTCCCATTTTGAAGAGCAACCATAAGAAATCCATTAGATCATATCTAAATTCATTTTCATTCAGAAATACTTTATTTATACCAAAGGGACACTCAGTATTGTAACTCATATCATACAAGTATGTTCAAAGAGATGCTGTGGCCTTTGACTGAAGACTTTTGTTGTGTAACAGTCTAATGACTGTCTTAGCATGCTAACAGCTCTAATTCTGGGCAACATCCTGCATGACACCATCAGTTGCTGGCGAGAACTGCTAATGCACCTCATTTGCTTTTGTTGCAAAATCAATTACTTCCGCTACCTTTTGCCAAACAGAAATTAGGGGCGACAATAAGACCGGTAGAGATTAAAAAACAAAAACAAATAACGCTTAACACAGGAAACATCCCCCATTGAATGAACATATTGAAATCACATTGCCTCAACAGGCAGTATGAAAGTAAGCTCTACCTGATGGATTCCTGTGCTGGGATTGAATTTTATGAAATTCTTCCAAAGAGGTCACCTCTAACTAATTATCATTACGAGTAAAACGTGCCAAAAAGGAGCAGGGTTTACTTACCAGCCTGGTGTTGACTATAGGGAACGCTAAACCCAGCAGCGCTCCATTCAGCATGTGAATATGCAGTCTGAAAAGATGCAGAAGAAAAGTGCCGTTGAAGTGAAGAGCAGAAAGTGACAACTGATAAAGCAGCAGGTTGATCTTATCTAGAGCCATTTCTGAGGACTCTTTGTAAAAAAAAAGAAAAAAAATCATCCAGAACAGCTGCTGCGAAGAAACATCAAGCATCCAATAGCCCCTGCAGTTCTTCCTCCTGTAACTCGGATTTGCAGTAGATCAGTCTTTGGGAAATAACACACTGATTCTTCTTTAACCACAGTTTATTCAGTAGCCGCCCTACACAGTCTTGAAGGCCAGGAGGTTGTGTCAAACCACAGCCCCGACATGTTCGACACACACAAACTGCTCTTTTTGTCCAATGAGCCAAAATAACTGTTGTGACAGATAAGGTCATTGGGAAAACAGAAGTGCCCTACGACTGTCACGTCGAATACACCCAGCTGTCAGTCTGAGCGGCCTCCTGACTTTATTTTTTTGTTTTTCTAAAGAACACTTCATTCTAATTTAAATACACCATTTCCTTGCACTAAATAATGAAGAAATGGGTGTTTGTGACGCAACCAAAACCTGCGTCACAAACTAGATTTATGGAAGATAATCTCGCACCTTTTTATTTTTAATACCATGTGTGAATAATTAGATGAAATACATAATATGTAGTTTTATGTTGCTTTGTGCAGCAATTACAGTCTAGTGAAACCGTATTCATAGCACTGCAGGTTAAAATAGTCACTGACTATTAGTTGGACGGCCTTGAACAATTAGGCAAATGTTTCAATTAACCTTCTTGTTCTGAAATGCGTTCATTTTGTTACACTTTACTGTCCAGCTAAAGACACCCAAACTGGAAATGTAAAGAGTTCTTCAAATGGAAGCAAAAATTCAAAGCTAGCAGCAAGTCAAAGCCTAAAAAATATCTTACTGGAAACTAGCCACAAATCTGAGATTAACAGCATCAATAGATTCAATTTGCAGACTGGTTCGGTCATGAACCTGAGTAAGGGTTTAGTAAGGGTTTTTAACTTCCCAGAGAAAGGTAAATGTTTATTCTTTTTTTTTTTTTTGTCGTTTCTGATCCAGTGTCACTTTAAACCCATGACATTAAAAGTGACATGGAATTTGTTTCTTGTTCAGAATGAGGTCAGAGGTCAGGTATTTTGCTGTGCATGTAAATGGGGCCGTTCCCTGAAGTGATTGTGTGAGAGAGACGTCGCCTTGGAGAAGTCATCTAGCGAGTCCCTGTCTTTGGGAATTCAAAGATCGATGGCTTAAATCCCCCCGGGGAACAGAGTCTAACACACCAACTATGAGGCGCTTTATACACAGGCATGCTTTCAATCTGCTTCTGCTGCATCTATAGGAACGCAGGACTTATTGTTATTCTCTGTGCAGCTGCTATTCTTTACGAGGGAACGTCCAATTCTTGAACTTTAATGTATTTTTCTGGGATTTTATGTAATGAAAACACAAAGCAGCACCAAAGTGGGTTGTGGAAACTAAAAACATACAGTTTTCCAATTAAAAGTGTTAGTAGCGAATGCCACAAATTTGCATTTAGCCCCTTTGTAATTGACAAGTGCTTTTTCAAAGTGTGTGTTTGCCACGTTTAAGGGGTGAGGGTACTTTTGCGAGACAGTGTAGTTTGATTAAATCGTATTACTAATGAATTTTATGATGAAGAAATTGCGCAAAATGTAGGACATTTAATCGAAAACCACTTGAGAAACTCTCTCTTTACATTTACAACAGAGGTGGCCACTAATACAAATACCACATTGCTCTGCCTCCAAGAAAGTTTATAGAAAGGAAATAAAGTTGTTGCATTTTCTTTTCAACAGTCGAGTTTTTATTTCTTTTTCTTTTTTTTTTAAATGGGGCAATATTTCATTTGTCCCTCCCATTTCAAGCATACGCACTCATATTGGCCTGCTTTAATGTCCAACCACTCACTGCGATTGTTGAATTACAGAGTGACCCGGCTAGGGTTTATTTCAGAGTAAATTCCACACTGTCTTCCCCGCCGGCTAAAACCTTCTCATGAATAATTAACCTCTCTGACCAGAGGAGGTTTAAAAGGAGAGACTATAAACCCCAAACCAATGCGTTACAATAAATCTCTGGAAGAAGCTGGCACACTCCAGCCAAGCTTACAGGTCATAACAATCAGCGATAATGGCGATGCCTTCAGGATGGAAATGAGAAGTACATCCACGCTTTTACAACTAGAAGTCCCCCTTGACAGGTTTATAATGCTAGTGGACAACATAATACAGGAAACTCAGTTATGGGACTTTTCCTTTCTCTGTTGGTGCTTAAAAACTGTTGGCGCACGACACGGAAGAGGGTAAACACACTCACCTATATACAATCATCGCTGTTTTACACGGCGGGCAGGCCAGCAAGAAGATCTGTTGGAGAAACCACAAAGTGAGATTGAAAACCACCCGACATCACATTCAGAGCAGACGGTCATTAGGAACCGCTTGAATCCATTAAGAGCTTCCTGGTCTTAATGCTGCAAGCAAATATACAGTAAGAGATTTTGACGAAATCGGTCCTTAGGGACAGGCCTCCAAATCAATGAAAATAAAAACACCAAGAGTTTGGAGAAGGCTGAGACAAACAGCGACAACTCAGACTGCTTCACAGTGGTTTTTAGAGAAGAGCCGTATGTCTTTATCTGTAAGGTAAAAGCATTAATTTGACAGATTCATCACTTGGATGTTAAAATCCTCTCCTAGATATTTGACTCGGCAACATGCATGGTGATGGACGCTGCAGAGCAGCTGCAGAGTAGCCTGGTTTGTGTTAATATTTGCTGTCTAACTGTGTGTTTGTGTGCCAAGTCGATTGAATCGAGTCGGCTTCTGCAGCTTTGTGGATTCAGGCTTCAGCCTTGCCAATATGATAATGATAATGACTGCCACTTTTACACCTGCCTGTCAATGAGATAATGAATGCATGACAGGAAACAGTTGCCGTCTAATTTCCATAAAGGCATCACCAACTTGTTACTATAGCTCAAAACAAATGACTGGAATATTTATTTTTATATTTTAAGAATAAACTTGACACGTAACAATAAGATATTTTTAGATAATCTAATGACCAATTCTGAGGTCAGTGGCATTAGGTTTGTGTAGCTGTCGCTGCTGCTGTGGGTCAAAGGTCAATTCACCTCAAGATTTATTCTATTTTTGTTCCTATGTTGTTCCGGTGAACAAATAATTTCACAACCATGAGGTTATAGAAGTTTAGCCAACATATTAGGATAACATGGTAGTGTGATAATAGTATTGAATATTGTGTATTTTAACATTTTACCGATATATATATATTTTTTAACTATGCTACTTTACACACTATTGCTCTGGTATTTCCAAAGGAACCAGTTCATTCATTTTCCTTGGTGCTGATTGGCTGAATCCCCCCAATTGGAAGACTGTATCTGTTAGTAGTACAAAATCGGCTTAATTAATATTAAGGTATATTTTGGTGTTTGAACTCCCAAAATCAAGAAAATTGGGGCCGATTTATCTGTGCAGCCCTTTGAGATATGGAGCAGGTCGTCTGGATATCGATAAATGGATGATAACACAGATGTCCTTCAGTTACCATTTAAAAAAGAAACAAAGATGGAAAATATTCGGTTAATGCGACCAATGCTTGCTCGATTGATGCATTTTTGGCCAGTTCTACCACCGCCGCTTCAGCGTTTAACATGTCCTCCGTTTTCTCAACCTCACCGTCTGTTTTGCTTCTTGTCAGACCGGATGGGGCGGAGTCACGTGACTGCAGACCGTACACATAGCGCAGTGTCTTAAAGGAACAGAGCCAAAAAAAAGAGACAAAAACGACTTCACGGTTTTTTCAATTAAAACACCGAAAATGCCGACATGAGCAAATTGACATCTGTCAATTGTTGTATCACCACAGCTGCTCGCTTCACGGCCTCTCCTGATTGGTCTGTACGGCCAGCAGATTGGATGCATGTTTTAAGTTCAGCATCAAAGGGAAGACAAAGGTACACAGGCAGGTTATAGCGTTGTCTGGATAACCTGCAAACTCTGTGTTTCCACAACAATATGAAGCTAAAGGACTTCTGGGGAGACAGATTGAGATACATAAGAAAGATTATGACCCAAGTTCATTGCCTTTCATTAACCAACTCCATCTTTGGTTTTGTTTATGATTTTAAATGTAAATTTTGTTCCTGTGAATAAATGACCTCAATGAATAAAAGATCATTTTCTTTCTGGGTTTGCTGAGTGCAACAAGCAGCAGATTATTTTCAGATGTACTCACTCAATCTTCTCTTTGTAACTTGCAGCTTGTTGCAACAATGTGGTTTGCTTTGTGCCCAGAACTTAATTAGATACAGAAAAGCAACATATTGGATAATTTCTAGCAGGGCATAATGTGTCTTGCATTTGCCTCGAGATGTGAAACATCCGATCTGTTATTAGCATTTTTTTAAGCCAGGTTATGAGGAAAACAAAAGGCGTTCTAATTTTAGTTAAGCCGGCCCTACGTACACGTATTTTTATGTGTGTGATGAATTCAGGGGTTTGTCTATAAAGTACCACAAAGAAAAATCACCACATTTTTTATTACCCTCTCTTACCTTTCAGATCATAAGGCATAAATACGGTGCACATCACAAGACATAAGGATGAAAGGGGTTTTTGCCGACTATGAATAACATTTGAATATTATTTTTCAAATTATAGTTTTAAAAAGAAGCCATCTGAAAACGCTCGGCTGCAGAGTTCTCATTGGATTACTCCAAACACTCAGTTTGCAGTGAAAGTGGGCATGATCAAAAAACTATTTTCAACACATTCAAAAAGAAGAACTGCTGTTTTTCCAGTTTCACCATGAAACAAAATCAGTTCACATGGTGAAATGTATGATTTTCAGAACAAGGGAGAAAATGAGCTAGCAGAAACAAATCTGATCAACTTCAACCTTATTGACTGTGTGTCCGGCGAGGAGCTGGACGGATACCAACGTGCAATATTTTACAGTAACGCCCCGCTGAAGTCACTCGTTAGCCTTGAGCCAGCAGAACATTCTTCAGACTTTGTTTCAACGGGAGGCGAGATGGGAGTGAAGAGACGGAGAACCAGCTTCAGTATCAAGTCATGTGATCTGAGAAGTGAGAAGGCGACATCCTCTCTGGGTATCTCGGCCAGAACTTCCTCTTTTCTGACAGGGTGTGATGCAGATCTACTCAGATCTTGATAACGCCTGAGGATCTCTCATTTAGAACTGGTCTCTCCAGTAAAACCAGTCTTTTCTGTAACATCGGCGGCTAGATAGAAGACTGGAAGATTAATACCTAAATACCAACTGTAAAGTCTTTAAAAAAAATGTAATCATTAAAAAAAATTAAAGTAAATTAACATTGCAATAGCATAGCAAATACAACTTCTAACTTTGACTCAGCTGTAGTGAGCAATCGCTGTGAATCAGTTACTATTTAGACCAGGGGTGTCAAACTCATTTTCGTTTTGGGGCCAAATACAGATCCCGAATGCTCTTAAAGGGCCGGTCGTGCCAGAATGCATCAATAAAACCTGTTTACAAGCTGTTAAAATATCAATAAATTCTCAAAATTAAATATATGTTTATTCTGACAAGAACAACATACAAAATAACGGTGTTATAGGCTGCCCGCTCCAAGTCCGACATAAAATAAAAGTACATGTCAAAAATGTACTTAATAAATCTATAATCGTGGATGTTTATGGCAACTAAGTTATGAACTATCGTTGCTAGAAATACTGGTTATACAGTAGTTTGATTGCTGAAATCAGGGCTTTTTGTTTTCTCTCTCTCCGACACCGAGAGGCTGGATAAAAACAGCAACCAATATTCCTGTATTAGGAGAATGCTTTGGATTTAGCTCATGCAATGTATATAAATCTGCCCAATTTAGGTGGACATTCACACAAGAAAATCGCTTTCTGTTGTAGAAGCGTTCAGGTCACATAGTCAAAACAATAAATAAATAAATCGACTGACAGTTTAATACTGAGGAATCAGTTTGCCAATTAGTCTGAACGTTACTATGGCTTGACTCACAGTATCACATGTGCAAAAAAATTTTTTTTGTTTACATCATGTGATATTTTTAAGTTAATCCGGTGTTTTTCTGTGAAATAATACACATTTGGGATCTAATAATTTAAAAACAATGACTTGAAGCTACAGAGTTAACTTTTAAAACTGTGATAAAAAAAACACTTCAAGAGGAGCAAAAAGTGAGCACCAGATTCATGTGCTCCGATCACATCTCAACCAGCTTCCTCATCTCCTGCAGCAATAATATACAATAAGGCTATGAGCATGAATGCATTTGTGATAGTCAAATCGAGCGGGATGCTGCTGCAGCTGCACTATTAAAAAACAAACAAATAAATCTAATGGGTTTTTTTTTTCTTCTTCTTCTTCTTCCTTCTCGAAATGAAATGCAATCTCATCTTAAGGCGCACCAGACTGAAACATAACACAAACCGTCCTCTCTTTTTTTTGTCCTGTCTTGCCCTCCGTCTGACTCCAGGCTCAAATTAAACAGGATTTTCCGCGTACGGGTTCCAGGTAAGAGCGAACCGTAAGGGCAACAGTTAGAAAAGGAGACAGACTGAGTGTCCCAGAGTCCTTGAAGGCGACCTGAGCTGCACTGGTTGTTTGCATAGTAGACTTTTTTTAATGCCACATTGGCTGAATATCAATTCAGAGATTACATAAATTGTTTTCTCCCTGCTGCTGAGCTTTAAAAGTGGAGCATAAAGTTATTTACCAAAGACTATCAGTTTATAGATTGGCGTGTCTCAGTGTAGATAAGTTTCTCCCCCTCTACCCCCGTTCTTCCACAAGGAGAGCCATGTCCTTCCACCCTTATCTGAACAACTGAGTCAACAATCTGCTCAGCTGGCTGTTAACATTACAGCTGATACCGTAAACAGGGCCGTACTTGACAATGGGGCTGACACCGCCTGCTAAGCTGAAAGAGAATATCTTGGTGTTATTTTTACTGGAAATAAATGACAAAATCTTACATTAGGTGAATCCTTAAATGCATTTTGTTTTAAATCCAGCAATCCTGATTTTTCTTGCTATTTTTGACTTAATTTTGAACAATTTCACACTTTTAAAAGGACTAGCACATGAAAAAAATCGGGGCTGGCGATATAGACTTGAATGTTATTGCACTATATAGTGTTATATCATTAAAGATTATTAAAATGATTAAAAATTAATATACAACAATAATATGATATATTAGCTGTTATTTTTTCTTTTATGTAACCATTTTCCCATTTCAGACAGGCTTCTTCAGAATGTCACTTAGTTAAAAAAGTGACTTATGTCACTAAACTAGATGCAGATGGGCACCAGAACCTCTCAGGACCCCACAAGGGACAAGGGTGTAAAGAAAATGGATGGATGTCATTAAATGACACACATTCATCCTATTATGGAAATAGCAAAAATATTTCTGATCAGTTTTGTTTTCTTCATTTGCCATCAATAGCTGAAATTCATTGTGACAATTATACATCATTATTCTTATCATGATAAGAAATTTTTCACAATAACTGATACAAAAAACCCGTAATGAAAAGCAAATGTTATGATAGAGCTCGTAATTCAATAAAATCGAAAGAAATGCAATATTACTTCATTTCCTATATCATGGCTTATGTAATTGACCTTTATTTTTTTTCTACTTCTGTAAAAAAAAAAGCTCACTAAAGCCTTTGTGTGGTACCACAGAGGTCAGATCAGCTGGATGAATCTTTTCATGCTGTGTGTGAAAATATTTCCCATCAGCCCACCTGATTTCTACAGGAAACTCTTAAGTGGAGTTTTAGTACACAGATTTAGTACACAGGGATACAACCCATGCACTCAGGTTATTTAGACATAAAACATATAATTTTCTTTAACCTTTACACCTGAATGTGGTTGACTGCACTTCCACAGTGATAAAAAAAAAAAAAAAGCTCCACCTGAAAACATTATGAACAGAAAGTTTGTCCGCCTTGTTTAACTGCAAATATGTAATTAACCCTCCTGTTGTCCTCGGCTTATGTTGACCGAGGACAAGCCCTTAAAAAATATGTTTTTCAATTGCAGCTGCATACAGAAACTTTAATCTAACAGTCCTGCATCAGAACTATGGTGTGCACAACTCAGGGGGAAGTTTAGGCTCAAGCAATCCAAATGTGAACTTTACAAAAGAAATAAAAATAACCAAACCCAGGCCTCAGGTCAGACTGACCGGAAGACTAAGGAAATCACAGCTGGACAGCAAAACAGTATGGAATGGCATCACTGATCTCCGTAAAACTGATATCTTTTCAAATTTCCCCCCCCTCCTGTTGCCCTCGGGTTGACATGACCCGAGGACAAGCCCTTATAAAACATTTTTTTAATTGCAACTGCATACAGAAACTTGAAATCTAACAGTCCTGAATCAGACCTACAGTGTTCACAACTCAGATGGAATTTTCTGCTGCAGCAATTCAAATGTGAACTTGACGAAAAAAATAAGAACAACCTCCTCTTGTCTTCGGGTCAAAATGACCCGAAGACAAGAGGAGGGTTAAAGACAATCTGAGTTCAAAATCAAAAATTCTAATATTTCTGTTCCCAATTTATTTGACTACAGAGCTTTGCCCAATTCCAGTGAAAATGTGCTACAGTTAACTGATAAGCTAGTGTGTGACTGCTAATCACGTTACGCTTAGAGGGGCCGCATATCATTTATGGGACACTGAACTCATTCCTACGTTATACTTGCTTCCGTGTCCGAGGTCAAGATCTGAACCTTGACCTCTTCCACATTTGGTGACGACGATGGGACTTCATGGGATAACCTGGCACATGATCTCTGCAGATTTCACAGATTCAAATTGAAGACGTTTGAAGACCCGTTTAAGATTGCTGTGAATGAAATTTAAGAGCTGGTAAAACTTTAAAACCCACTAAACCTCCGACTTCATGGTTTGAGTGTCACGCTGCATATGGCTCTCTACCGCCTTAACGGTGCCAAGCTTTTTCTGCACTATGAACGTAGCGTCATACGGGTTGGCAACAGTGGTGAGGATGTGCAACGACTCTGCACTTGTAGACACAAACAGGCTAGCGGGAAAAGATACATTAGCGGCTTGTTAGCTGTAGATTCTGCCAAAAAAGATGTCTGCAGGGGACACAAACTTTTGCCTAACAGAAAAGTCCTGCTGGAAAAAAAATATAGAAACTATCTAGAATATTTTACATTAAATAGTACTGTCACAACAAAATTCATTAACCTTTTTAAGCCCAACAAGCTTTTCTTAACTAATTTAATATATTTTAAGGCCTTAATTTTAGATACATGAAAACATGTATATAAATTCACATATTCAGAGCTTTTATGGATGCGTGAACACCCTGTAACACAGAGCAATGTGTAAATAAAAGACACACACTCCAAGAAACACGTGAGGCTGATCAAGGATAAAGTTGTGAAGTCTGAAACAGAGTGAAATAAAAAAGCAATGCTCAATCCATCATCTGAAAATGGGTTGAGAATAGGAAACGCAGACAGAAAACACTTGGTAATGCTGGAGAAGATGCGTTACCAAGAGTAACCTCTTACTCCCCCTGCCCCAACACAGATTGGAAAACTTAACTACCACATTTCTGATTCTATAAAAAAATAGCTTTCAACACTCAATGATTAAGGCTAACTACCACCATGAGCCCTGAAGAGACCAGAACAGCTGTTACTATGGAGGTGACTTCATGCGTGATGGAAAAGGATCAGAAAGGAATTTAAATGGACGAGCCACACCCATTAGGAGAAGAGGAAGTGTCAGAACTGCAGGAGATATGCAGCCCAGAAAAATGCACATCAGATTTTGTGCTCCTCAACCCTGATGTTAGCTGTACTGGACGGGACAAACACAATGAAAGGCCCTATCCTGCTCAAAATGCATCACGCCTTTAATCTCATTCCAGCCATCCTCTGAAGAAGTCCAAACAATGAAATGTTGACTCTGCAAATAACTACAAAATACTCACCCAGCTGGGCAAGCTACCAAAATTGACTTATTGTAGAAAAACAAAACGCCAACAATGTTTGACAAGATCAGAAGGGTTGTTTCTGAGAAAGAAACTGCACAAAAGGAGTTTGTTTAAATAAGTCATATGTGTCGTGTCACCACTTAAATAATTAATTAAAACAGTGGATTAATATAAAAAAAAATCTTTCCTGGCAAGAATATGTGGTTGATGTGTTTCTGGGTTGAAAACAATATTAGTTGTTCTGAAGAATTTATTTAATTGCCAGGGTCAAAAATATAGAGACATATATTATAATGGAAAATATTGGTCATTGGTCATAACAGCTGTATTAACATCTCCTCATTCCACCCTAAACTTGCATGAACTTTTGCCTTTGCTATTATATATTGCCAATTTCATTTAGTAAATGTATAACAGTACAACAGGCATGGCAAGCAAAAAAAAGAAACAATTTGAAATTGAATCCAAATGGAAAGGATGGAAAGGCTTTTAACCTGGCTGATACAGACTTCAAGTTTTCTTTGAGCAACAATCTGCCAATTCTAATTCTTTGTTACTTACAAGGCTACACAAAAGAAAACAAAATGGTCTGCAGAGTCTAAGGAGGTGAAGAATTTCACGTGTGAGGATCCCACATCCAGGAAGTAATCGCTGCTGGTAAAAACCAAATCTCCATTACAGTTTACACCGGGTGAGGTGTAAACTGTAATGGAAACACACATCACCTTCAGTTCATGCCTACCTGAACCATGGTGACTATATGGCAGGGATTCAGAAGATAAATCACAGTCTTAGTCGCAAACTTGAACCCGACTTCTATCCCAAAAGTCATGCAAAGGGAGACCAGCAACAGGTTCTTGCCCAGACTGTCCTTCTTCGTCTTCACGCAGTCCCCCCCGACAGCCTTGAACTCCTTCGCGAAGTTGATCTTCTTCAGCGCCACGCCGACCTCCAGCAGCGAGATGAACAGGATGACCAGGCTCTCCACGACGCGCTGCTGGAAGGGGAGGAAGGCTGCGCACTTGGGCCCCCCGTTGCCCTCAAACTTCGGGTCCACCCCGCCGTAAATCCAGTCCAGCAGGCTGTGTATGTTGTACCGGAACATGTCCCTCTTTTCTCGGGTTGGAATAGATACGAACACGATGGGATAAAAGACGTCACACTGACTTCTTGGCGAAACATGTACAGCGGGATTTCCTTGAGGTTCACTCCGTAGTAGACATGCACTCAGCGCCTGGGTGGGTTTCATGCAGCTGGCCGCTAAACTACCTCTTCCGCAGGCGGAGGAGGAACTTCAGTTAGCGACAGGAGGAAGCTGTTGTCAAGGCTACCCGTCGCTGGTGTTTCGTGTGGAGCAAGCCTCCTCTCTCTCGTTTCTCGCGTTACTCCAAGCGGGTTAACTCGTCGGGCTCATTTCAAGGCAGTGGACATGCTGGTCGTCAGCTGCTGATAGACGCGTCATGTTTGGAGGAGAAGGTTACCGGACGCCGCCGTTAGCATGTGTAACCACCGACACGCCACACAGGTGGCTAGCCTAGCTTCGGAGCCCCACTCAACTGCCGAAGAGGTGCCGCTTGTTGTCGCTTCGCCCCGTTTTTAGTATCGCAGGCTGCGTTAAGTTGTCACTGTACGTCGCGATTCTGCAATTGATATTCACAAAAGCGTCCTTTCGGAGTCATTACTGACAATTGTGGGAATATGTTAAGGCTTACGCTTGCCGAGGTAAACCACTGCCATTGCGTCAAAACTACCTGCAAGTCAACGCTTAGGACATCACTGTGTAAATCAACACCGCCCTATGTGGCGTATGGAAGTGGTGCGTTCACAGAGACTGAGGAAATTTGACAAAGTTGACAAAGCTTTTCGAAACCCCAGAGACGTCTCTAGATTGTATGAAATAATACTAGCTTTATATAACCCACGTTTGATTTTGCAGATGCATAACAGTACATTACCAAATATACAGTACAGAAAAAAAATATTTTAAAAATCAATCGTGTTAAGCTTTTAGGGTGAAAGCTGTCCCCCCACCTCTCTTGACAGTAATATAAGTTATTTAGAGCTTTGTTTTTTGGCACACCTTAATTAATTTGGATAATAAAATAAAGGTTGATACTTCACAATATAACACAAGTAAAATGTAGCTGTGAGTTGACCATGTCTTTTAGGAGAGGGAATCAGCTGATGTAAAAAGAACTGTTGCCTTGCTTGATGGTAAAAAATCACCATAAAACATCTGCTGTGCCTGTGGCAGCAAGCCTTTTTATGTCGTTGTGAGTAATTTTAGTGTACTTTGCTTTGCAGAATCTTTTCAATTATGCCACAAAATAGGTTTCTTTTCCTTCTGTTTTTTTCTGTTTGTTTAGAGAGCATTTGCGCTTGTTTTGGTATTCATAAATATTTGCTTGATTTGAAAGTGGCGAATATTGGACAAACTTGGACAACATCACTGGAACAAGACGCTTCTTTGATTAAATACCAATGATAACTAAGAAGAAAATGAATTTATTTGACCTTTAGTATGATTTTTTTTTATTGCACTTATCCTAAATGAAAGATATAGTTTTAAGTACTTTCTTCCCTTATGTAATAGGATATTAAGCAGAACTTAGAAGTTAAGCAACATCAGACATAAGGTTCCTTATAGTCCAAGTATTAAAGGAAATTAGCCATAAACGTCTGAGATAAGTTGGTTGACAGTCTGTGCAGGAGTTGTTGCTTATTCTCTGTGGTAAACAGTATTTATTCTGACAACAATCCTTTTGTTACTGAATTTGGTGATAGCTCAGATAAACACCACAGCGCCAGGTTATAGATTTCGCTACTGCTTTGATAACTGGGAAGAAGGATGCCAGTGGCTGGCTCACGAGTGCAAACATCGCTATGGAGACCGTCAAAAACAAAGTATTGTTTTACTTTTTGTACATGGTGCATGTGTGCTTACGGTTGTCCGTAACACATCCTGGTATCCAAGGGACAAACATTCGAGGGAAACAGCCACGGTGTATTTGCTTCATAATAGATGGAACACCATCTTCAATTATTTTTACCACAAACAATAATGAAAAGTATTAGGATCCACATCTACAAGCCCTTCACAGAAGGATGTGTGTCCAAAAAAAGAGTTCTCCATGTTAAAGATGCTGAGCCAGTAGGATATCCTCAGCACTTTGGCTGAAGGATGCTATCACCATGGCTACCAGAAGACTCACGGCTCATCCACCTGTTTATTTTATCAGGCAAAATAATAATAATAATAATAATAATAATAATAATAATGATGATGATAAAGTACTTACACTTATGGTCAAAAATCCATATTAGTTAATCTCTATGATTAACTAATATGGATAAAAGTCTCATCACTTTTGAAAAACAGGTTTATTAGTTGGAAGAGGAAATAACGACAGGACTGGTGGAAGTGAAGTAGAAAGCACAAAGGACAGCCCAGAGAGAGCTTTGGACCATGCTTGGCAGTGAGCTTATTGCCTAGTGGGAAGTAATGCAGAACAGTCATTGGTTAGGAATGCATTAGACCACAAACATTTTCAAGCACGCGAGGGGAGACAGAACATATCAAACAACGGTGCAGGGACTGGCCCAGCAAAGGCTCGTGGGAAGAAAAAAGATATGGGAAATGAGAAAACGCTCTGACTTTGGCAGGCTACTCCTTTTCAAACGACCACAAACTAATATTGCCTCATCAATGCAGGGTGTGTGCGGTACATGCTTCCCAGTGTTTGAAATTAGGTCCAACATTCAAGGCGTGAATGTCTGTGTCGATGCTTGAAAAGAAAGTGTTACTGCCTGGTCTGTGATGGAATATCAGGGTTTGATTTGTACTGGGACGCATAAATAACATCTCTGTGTTTTCTCACAGCTTGCCTCACAACATTAAAGAACCTAACAGCAAGAGATAATTACTGCCTTACATAATTCAGCGAATGTGCTCAGAAAAGCCTCGTTAAGGAGAGCTAAAAGAAAAGCATGCACAAGTGGTGATTAAATAGCAGCACAAACCTAAACCTTTAAACCTGTGTGACAGTACACGGTTGATGAGGAATGCCATGCTCGTGCTTTGCGATCCTGTTACAGCTATAGATCTTTAGGTTTAGATTGTTTTAGAGGTTGTCACTGCAAAAGGGGCGAATGCATATGCCTGCCTCACTTAAAAAACATGTAAAGCTCAGTGAACCATCCGTCCTTTTGCTTCCGCTTCACCATTCTGCCCTGCTTTTGTAAGGGTAAGTAAATTGCATAAAACACCAATAAAGTACATTATAGTTTGGGGTCGAAAACAAAGAGAATGTTAAAAACTGAGAGGAGCAACTGCAAAGACGTAAACGCAGTGTAACACTCAGCATTTAAAAGGTTGCAAGTACTTCCCCATCCCATGAGGGAAATTACTGTGGCTATCATTAAAGTCCAGGCTGCTGTTCCAGGATCTAAAGGCGAGCAAAGAGAGAGGACTGAAGATCAGCTTGGCCTTGTAGCATGTAATCCTGGGGGATGAAAAGTGAGCTGGTCCTCAGACAAGAACCGACAGGAGCAACTTAGGCAAATCACGACCCTTTTGGTCTGGTTGAAAGAGGCCAATTAGCTTGAAACAGAGAGAGGTGAGGAAGAACAGGTGAATTGGGAGCAGAAACAGCAGCACAGCTCCAGCTCCACACACAGGTAGTTCTTTTAAGAGATTTGAGAGAATTTGTAATTTATTTTTTTAAAGGTTTTGGTACTTTTTTAATAGAAAACAAAACTCGGAGAGAAAATTGCAGCCTAAATGTAATACTCGTAAGATATTTTGTCGTATTCATGAGCCAAAATACAACTTAAAGTTGTATTATTATTATTTGTTTTTATTTAAGTGTTTTACTATTTAATATTTTATACACCTCAATGAAATGACCTATCCCAGGGCTCAGGGAGCCACAAGTGGCTCTTTGGACTTTTCACAGTGGCTCTTAATAACATTGTTGAAAAATATAAAAAAAAATATATATGTATTTTTAAATACAAATATTATAAATGCAGATTTTAGCCATTTTTTCATGGAATAATTGCGCTTGAGTTCCACAACAGATTGTACCAGCAACATGTTTTTAGATCAATGTTTTTTGTCTTTTTTGTCTTACGTTACAAACTGTGTGCCTTTAACATGTTTTCCACAAAAAGCAACATGTCATAGAAGAAAATGTGGTCATCTCCTTTTACATGAGTTTCATGGCTTCTTTATTTACAACCCATAGGTGTAAGTAAAATAGTTGTTCTGTGAGAACATAAAACTTTCTTCCTGCAGTAGATGCTCATTAAAATTATAAGTCGTCTTTTCTCGAAAGGTCACGTGACGTTTGCGGCTCTAAACGAGTAGCTGTTTAGAGCCGCAAACGTTTAGAGCCGCAAAAATTGTTCTTTGGATTGTAGAGACCAGAAGCTTTTGATTCGCCACCAGGGGGCGATATTACCATTTTCCTATGACATTTGTGTTTCAGATTCCTCTGGGTTCAAAAAGGCTGTGCTGCACAGTAAATTCCAATGTCCTAAAATGCCGGAAATAAAAGTTGCTTATATGGTCTCCATTGCAATAGAGACATCAGTTTGCTTCAATGCTATTTTTTTTATCATGCATGTTATAGTTTTGCAATAATTAATCTTCCATTTCTTGCTTAATGTTTGTGTAGGTAGTGTGTGGCTTACCAATTTGCCACATAAGCTTCGATGCTCAAATGCGTGCTGTGTTTTAAATGCAGGTTTGTATGTCTTTGCAGGATGCTCTGTTCAGCTGGAGAGAGAGAGAGAGAGAAAGAGAGAAAGAGAGAGGGAATAAAAGAGCTGTTTTCTAACCACATGTGTGGACAGCTGGACCTGAGGCTGCAGCTTCTACATGGGCGACAAATCAAGTATTTGCAGCGTTTCGGGTTTATGTTTTTGTCAGAACAGTGAGAAAATCAATCAGCTCCTGCGGGGGCGGCCAGGCTCTGATAGACCGACTTGTCTCCTCACCGCTGAGCAGAAGTCAGTCGAGGATATTAATCTAAACATCAGTCATGCATGGGGAACACCCCACAAGGAGAATAAGCTTGCTCATCCATGCCTCTCCTGGGGGAGGTATATGAAGCCTCAGATCGGAGGAGCCGTCCTGGTAAGTGTGTCGGGGTATCGTCTCGGGAGACGTAATGTGGGCCGACTTCGGGTCCACCGACAATAAACTCCCGAACAGAAAAGGCTGGCACCATCACGTCCTGAAATTTAAGCATGGCCCACTGGAGCACATTATAATCCTTGCTGGAAGAACGTCAGACGGAGCTGACAGCACCGCAGTCCAGACGGTGACCCAGAAAGGATGCAACATGTGTCCCCACCCCGTGTCCCCTCTTCAAGTGGGAACAGAGGAATGCTGTGCTTCTGAGTCATTTTCTTAATGTAATCCATCTCATTGCCACCCAATCCTCCAGCCATTCTAATGAGCCAGACAAATAATGCAGTACAACGCAAGAGCAGTCTGTTATTCATTACCTGCCCCCGTGTTGTATTAGAGTCTCTCTGAGCAAAATTAGGAACCATCCCCTTCTTTGCTTCACTTGCTCGGACTGGATTGTGTTCCCTGTGCTGGCTGCTTGGCTCTGAGCTCAAATAATCTCATACACCACAACTGTCTTGTTTCTGTAGCTACCAGCTACAGAAACATATCAACAGAGTCAGTTTTAATGGGCAAATCAAAGGTATAAGCTGAGCTGAAAGTCACTGTAGGGCAC